AAACTCGAGACATGCTAAAGGTAGGGAAAAGGTTCAAGGAACTCCCCTAATAAAGCCTCGAAAATAATTTAAAAAGGGAAAACCTCCCCGTGAAACGAGCAGGTGTACGACCGTGGTGCCTGATAGCATACTATTTAAAATCACTGAATTACTGTGGAGGAACAGCCACAGACTGAGCAACCACCACCGGTCCAAGGGAATACAATCAATCAGAATGAGAAGCCAAGGACCGGAGATAAAAATCCGTGAAGGTAGCCAGAAAGCCGCGGACCTGACCTCCTGAAAGGGGGACCCATTGAGGAGGGCCCATGACGCAGCAAGCTTCCTCGAGAGTGCAGGAATCCCACGACCACCTGCAGCAGCTTGGTGAAAATCAAAGGTGCAGTCGTGAGCCCGAACGGCATGGCCCAGAACTGGAAGACTTCTTGATGGGGATGTGGAAGTAGGCGTCCTTCAGATCTACTGAATTCGCTCACATTCCCTCTCTCACGGAGGCGATAATACCCCGAGGAGTCTCTATCTTGAAGTGAGGAGAATCTACGTGCTTGATGAAGGCACTTAGATCTATGATGGGACGCCACGCCCCGGACTTCTTCCGAACCAGAAACATTCTGGAGTAGAACCAGGGAGTGCATCCCGACATAGGAACCTCCTCGACCGCGCCCTTGGGTGGTGGACTCGGGGACAGATGACGCCGAAGGTGGTGGGCAAACTTCCTCAACCTCAGCAGTCTCAGGGTCACCCTCATCCTGGAAGTCCTCCTCTGAGGGCAAGCCCTCCTGAGGACCGTCATCAGACGACTCGGAAAGACCAGCGTCTATATCCGAGCAACCAGGTGAAAGATGAACAACAGCATCGTCTCTGCCATACCCGCGCCCTCAACGTCCATAGCCTCCACACCATCCAGACCAAAAGCCAACTCGAGAGAAGGCTCCCCGTACTAGCGTTTAGGTGCAGTGCGCCTTGTTTGTTTGTTTGTTTGTTTGATTTTGTTTAACGTCATATTAACAGCTAAAGTCATTTAAGGACGACCTCCCTTGTGTGCAACATGCATGCGTGTAGTGTATGTGTGTGTATTTTGGGAGGCTGCGATATGTTCGTGTTTGTCTCCTTGTGATAGCGCGGAACTGATGCCGACTTTATAGTGCTACCTCACTGAAACATACTGCCGAAGACACCCAGCAGGACGTCCCACCCGGTCACATAATACTGACAACGGGCGCCTAACGGCCGTGGTTGTAGGTTAAGGCTAAGTAGCCAAAACCCTACCCTAGGACCCAGAGACCAACGAGCCTGCTCGAGTGGCAGAAGTCCTAAAGGTCCGACACACCTTCTTAGGACCAGCCGATAAGGCCCCCGAAGTAGCAGAATGTTGGGGAGGGGGGGGTCAACAGAACTGCTAACACGTCTCCGCGAGGGAGAGACCAAACCCAAAGGATTCCACGACGGAAATGCCATGGGCTTAAACCCATATCCCAGAGGATAAGGGAAAGGTCCCGCGGGCTGGGAGTGACCCCAGAACTGGCCAAACTGGCCTGCCTGAGACTCGGGCTGGCCNCACTGCCCAAAGGACGAAGGTGGACCGCCACTCCCTCCAGGTGGAAGCCGGACATGTACGGGCTAAGCCAGTAACTGCCGGGATGCTGCCGCAACCCAAAACAATCCGCAGGTTGGTAAGGGTGGCCCAAGGCACCCGTATACCCTAAGCCAGGGGAAAAACCCCTGTCCAGCAAACACAAACCCCCCAGGTTCCCGGAAGAATGAAACTCAGGACCGGACCTAATAGGACCGGGTCCGGGTAACTGACCGGGAGGGTAAGCCTGACCAGCATAGGTGCCGGGATTAGTGATCTGCGCGTCACTAATCCCGGTAGACACAGACAATCCCGAAAGAAAGTCTGTAGTTACACCAGGACCTGAACCCGAAAGAACAGGCCCACCTGGAATGCCGGGATCACTAACAGAGTCGGTGACCGGCGGCCGGTAGTTCCTACCCGAAGGCAAGCGCGAAAGCTTACGGGCGTTTCCTGCCAATTCGACCCTTGGCTATGCCAAGCCAGGGTCGGGCTGCCCCTCCCCTACTCCAGGGAGTTCCTGGACAGGAAGGGCCACCCCCTGCGCACGAGAGGGACTCGCCTAAGCGAGACCCCCGTGACAGGAACAGAGACAGTACCACCAGACCCCAGAGAGCTGCTGGCACGACCCCTACCTCTCTGCTTCCCTCGCTTACCGGAAGAAACAGACGAATCTCTCTTACGGTAAGTTGAGGGTAGCTTTGTAACAATGAAGTCCTTGTCCTGATATTTAGTCTGTGAACAAGGTTCACAAGGCGAAACCTCACTGCAAGGACGACACCTGGGACAAGCATCATGAGGGTCCCGTTCCACAAAGAAATGGGAACACCCATGAGCTCTACCTGGTCGCTGTCCCGACCGAGACATACCCTCAAAAGCGAAAGTAAACAAAAATTTACAACCAGCTAAACACGTGAAAAAATGATAAAATACGATAGTACAAAGTACGCAACGTAGAAAGAATTTCACCGGTATTATAAATCAGAAAACGGTTAAAATAAATAACGTTTGCCGAAACAAGCAACCGTTACCGAAATAAACAGAGGTCGGAAATTAACCCACGATAATGGCGGACCGTGGCACACCACCGGCACACGTGGAGTAAATAACCGGCCGTAAAAGGCACAAAATTATTTTTCAACAATAATTAATTGTATTAACAAGGGCAGATGGGTATAAGGCACACAAATTGCGCAAAAAATTGAGTTAACACTCGAACCAAATCGACAAAACAAAGTTTTGAAATGAAGCAAGCTCCGGGCGTCAGCAGGCAGCAGGCGCCATAAAAGGAAGAGGAAGGGAGATCACTCCGTGGCTCTGTCGTCGAGATATGGGTTACGTCACGGTAGGGAGCTAGGGATATTTGAATCTTTTGTTTTTGGTCTACAAAGATGGGTGTAGGTATTGTATATGCATACTAAAGTTATGGTAATTATTACTGAAATGAAATAATGTTTTATCGATATCATAAAAAGAATTTGCCAAGAAACATACTTATTACGAACCACTTGTCACTTGAACAGAAGTAATAAAGCTTAGGATGTGGCTTGCTGTTAAAGTTGGTACTGCAGCTAAACGAGTAGGATCCGGCGTAACTGATATGTACCCACTCTCCGACCTCCATCAGTGGTAGTGGCATGACTGTTGCTAAGCAATCAGTGCCACAACATGTTGGACCCCACGCCGTGCTGTGGTGTTTCTCTGTACTCGCCTTAAGACAACATAAACGAAGTTTTGCCCTAGTTTATCAAGTTCCCTTTAAGGTTTTGTCAAAACAACGTGTTCCCCTTCTTTGCCAACTTAACAAAACTTATACGGTTTCTAACTGAACAATGCTTTCGAAACTGCTCTTCTGATATTTAAATCATGTTCAAATCTTGTCTTAATGTGATGTAAAAAGATTTTATTATATGTAACAAAATATGATCCATTTTTAAGGAAACATACATGTGCAAATGTATCAAAATATAAGTTGAAGAATGTTTATTTCCATAATTTAGAAGATATTATTATTCCATTTTTGTGCAATATTCTTTGATTTCTGAAAACGTTTTTTAAAGATATTTAATGTTTTGTTCATCAAAATGATTAATTTCACCATAGAACACTCCCTACGTAAAATTTAATCTCAGAAAAAAAATCACACTCAGGTAAAATCAGCAGTAGAAAGTAAGTGGAGCCGAAATGTTGAAGGCATCTTGAAAAAGACATCGTGCCGTATGCAAAACTAAGTGGTTCAAAGGGTTATAGATAGGCGGCAGCACACTGCATATTGCTCCCACAACAATGATGCTACATTTAAGTCAATAAGATGGTATCGCATCGTTCTGTTGTCAGACCAACATTTCAATAGTAAGTCATGGAAGGTTTATCAAAATATTTTTTATCATTTTTACTTCGAATTCGCACTCAGTTCTCAAATCTTGATTTTATATAAAGAACATAAAAACTATAACAGGTTTCATCAGGAATTGTTTCGATAACTTCTCTACTTAAATATTTATCGAAACTTAAAAATGCTAAAAAGACGGAATCTTAAAACTTTATAATTAATTGATATGTATCCATTAACATCACTGCGAAGGTATAATAAACTATGTCCTCTATGTAAGGAGATGTACCTTGTTAAGAACTGGTGACATTACAAACACCTCCGTGACTTCTTTTACCCACGTAAAGGTTCCATACGCTCCGTCATTAATGTTGTACATAACCTGTTCAATACTGGTTTTATCTGGAAAAGCAAGCAAATAAAGCCATGTATAATTAATAAATTTTAATTTCCTGTAAACACTCTTAGTAGCAGATAATTTATCTGTTATTTTTTGAAATTCTGCTTACTGTAAAACACGTAGAAAAGGGTCAGGTAAAGAAACGGGTATAAATCAGTAAAACAAATATTTAATGAATCTCAAAAACTTGAACATAATATTCAGGTGAGTTTGGTGTCAAGTAACTTATGAACCAATTTGACATGACTAACCGACCTTTAACCAAGAACATTTTATAATGATAGACTGACCTGATTAACACCAATCTCTGATTTATTCTAATAACGTACAAAACTATCACAGTTTAGAAACATTTAAAGTGAACATCGAAAATTAACAAAGGAAAGAAAAATGCAATAACAATTTTAAAAATAAAAACAATAACATACTAAAACCAAACCAAACAAAACAACCAGACAAAAAGATGATTGGTAATGTTATATAAAGAGACATTCGACAGAAAGTGCAAATGCAAAAAATATAATTAGTGTGTATGTTCGTTTATTTTATTCGCAACAAAGAGGTCAAAGTTCATGCAAGCAAAACATATGTACTCAACAACAAGCAAATGTCAGACATTAACAACTTTGCACAAACCATTATCATAGATAAGCCTCCGGCGTATGATATTGGCTGCAGCACTGACAGCAGTTTCTACAAGGTAACGTCCTGATTCAGCAATTATTTTGACTCCACCTGCTTCAGGGAAATAAGCATCAAGGAACTGGTTTATAACCTCTGCATTCTGTACGTAAACACAAATTAAAACAATTAATAACATAGATATCACGTGACCGGTATAATATGTAAAACATCCATCAATAGAGCTGGAAGCTTTATTTTTGTTTCTTTAACATTTTAGCATTGTTGCGCTAAACTTTATTCATTCTACTTTCGTTTTGATGTAATAATAATAATATAATGTTTTGTACAGATGAATATGCGGTTGTGAACGCAATTGACCATTGACGTCAAAAGATGTCATCATGAAATGAAAAGTATTTGTTACCTAATTGATGGAATAAATGCCGGTTAGCCGGTTAATATTTCTTCTGTTACTATATAACATACTTCTTCTATAGTCGGTCGTTCAACATCTCTCCCTCGGTATCCACCTCCAATGTCCAGGACCTTCATATCAAAGCCGATCTGTAGACCTATGTCAAATATCCTCGGAGCTTCTTTGATTGCCGAAGCAAATGCGTTGAAAGTAAGACAGTTACTACCAACATGAAAACTAAAAACAATGAATTCATATTATTATGAAATTTAACATCCAGAAATTAATCTTGATAGAGACCGTTAGAATTAATAAATAAGAATTGAAAAAAAGTAAGCCGTATTTAAATTCCGAACTTATTTGTATTTAAGTTATACAATATAATATTTGTTTGTATGTCACTCACCATACACCAATAACGGTCAAGCCTTTGTTCTTTGCCGATATAAACAAATCCATCGCTTCTTCAAAGTCGCAACCAAACTTCTTTCCCAGGTCGTAAATTACTCCATACATATTTTTCGGTCGGAATCGCATGAGTAATCTGTAACACAAAGAATACTGCTTCAACACAAACGGATATTGATGATGATATTGATATCGTATAAAACTTTGATTTTGTAATAATGGTTTCAAATTGTTTGATATATAATATACCATTTTATATAATTTCTGTAGTGTTAAATTTGCGGGTACAAATTTATATTACAACCCACCTTGCTGATCCATACAACATTTTGACTTTGGTCAATTTTTCCTCAGTGTCAAAGGTCATCAGGTCTACATTGTGCTCCTTGGCATAAGTAAGATGTGTGTATTGTTTACATGGGTTGGCGTAGATGATACGAGACGGATTAACTCCTAGTTCTAACACTTGGTGAATCTCAGCCTACCAAGCGTAACGATAAAAACCTTGTTTTTAACACATTTATTGGACACTGATGAGTATGTGCATATGATCTTTCAGAAAATCTCGTGTGATGATGATGAAATGCTAATGGAAGCATTTTTTTCAGAGTTTCTGATTTCTATTGTCCCATTACCGAAAAAAACATACAATGGTTGTTTATACTCAACAAACACATATATACAATGGCCTCTTGCTCCGGCAAGTCATAAATCAATTCGAAGTTTGTAGGATATGACTTGAAAATGTACGCACCTTGCTCGCACAATCAAAACTGCTCCCTAATCTCATCAGGACATCAACGATTTTATCATCATTATTGCATTTCAAACCTATTGGAAAAGAGAAGGAAAAGATCAGTCTATTTAATTGCATCGACAAAATGGCTTCCGGTATTAAGGGCTAAAGGGGTAGGGATACACTTTAGAAAATTATTTCTTGAACTTAAATCAACTTAAGTACAGTTGTGGGATCGCACAACGTTACACGATGTGCGGTGTGCGCACGATGTGTGCATTTGTGCGGACGATCGACGAACGGTGTGCGATAACATTCGTGGTTGGTGTAAATTGAGGAATGGCTTAACAATATATACGGTTTCGTGTTTAAACATATAAATTTGATTTTTAGTATGTTTCTATATTCAAGCTACATCTATAAGCTTATATTTTGTCTATACTTTCTTAAATTTAGAAATGGTGATTTCGGTGTTTTTTAAACGACCTTAATCGACACAGGTAAAAAAACAACACAGTCTCGGCAACACAGGTAAACACAGCCACTTTGTACCTTGACCGTAGTTTTCCCCGCCCGGGGCACTTACGTAACTTACCAATGTGTGATAACCAGGTGAAGGGGAGCTATAGACCAAAACGAATGCAAATAACAAATATTGAACGTTCAGTTGTATTTTCATAACAGTCATACGGTATCAGATACCAGCTCTATGTGTCAGACAAAGACCAGGTAACATTCCGGTCACTCATCAAATTGTTATTTACCTGTTCTGTCACCGGGGAGCCAATCCCATTCTTGACAGTCTAACGGTCACTGTATACTGTGTTACCCTCATTGTAAAATTGTACATAATATCAGTTATAGAGATGAGAGAATTACAGTTATATATACAGTGTACATTATTGCATACAAGCCTTCCGTATTTTTATCATTCCGTAATATTGATCAACAAATTGTACCAAATCGCACATTTGTGCGGAGAGAAACGCACAACGGGGCGATCGATTGTTAAATCGCACAGTTGTGCGCACCATGTGTGGACGATGTGCGGACGGTGTGTAAACGATGTATGCACGATATTTTTGGTGCGTTGTGCTGTCACACAACTGTATCTTAAAAAGTTACAGTTTTCGAATCACATAGTTTTATATCATGGCAGGTGTGGGTGCATGCCAAAAATGTGTTGCAAATAGAAAAGAACACTAACATCGAATCTATCAATGACTTGATGCAGATAGAAAACTCTGGAACCGAGGGTAAACTATTTATCTCGGTCGAGTCTTTGCCAAGTGTTGACACTGAAAAAACGTATCCCGAGGGTTATGATTTCTTTTTCAGCATCACAAAGGCGTTAATGTTTATTTTTTCCAAACACTTTCCTACAGTGAACATTTAGTTGTAACGGAAATCACAATACAACGAGCCATTATCTATAAGGTATGCAATGTGGTACAAAATTGATCAAACGACTCTTGTTTAGCGCATGGAGTGATGACGGTACAGTGACGTTTTCAGAATAATTGTGTTGGGAAACATATTACATGTGTAGAATGAGGTAATTACAATAAAGACAACGTTACCGTAGTACAGCTCCACCCTGGGAAATAACTTGTACCATTTTCTGTATCTCTCCACCACCTCGTCAATATCAACGATAAGCAGAGGATCGTCTATACCCTGTATTAAATAAGGCATTTATTGTTGTGCAGAAAATGAAGGTGGAACTCAAAAAATGACTAAACATTTAAGTATAAAAATATCTGTATAGCTACAATTCATGGACACAAATAAATCAATTTAACCGATCCAGGTTTGTGACTGCTATAAATTGTAAAAATGAAGAAAACAAAAAGGAAAGATAAATAAAGTTGTCTAATTTTGTCCAAATGCTACCGTAAATTGTTAGTATTTCTGATTCGGAATAATGTATATGAAATTATTACCAAAAGTTGTCCCGGCATTAATAACTTGGGATTGAACATTCTTCATTATGGTTACGAAATACAATTTTGTAAGATGGTAAGACCGACGAAAAGTCAAATTCCTAACAAAAACCAATATTTGATAATCTTACCAGTTTTGCTTGGAATGTAACCTGGCGTTTGATGTAGACTACATGGGAACATCTAACATCGACGATCCGTACGTCCGTATCTCCCTTTATCCTGAAAACAAATATATCAAACACTCAACATTGCTATAAAATAAATTGTTAACATTTATACTAAATCTTAAAGAAAAAAATACTTATTGCTTCTTTAATGCTGAAATGGTTGTACTTTTGAGGGGTTTTAATTTTCACAAATTTTCTAATGACAAGTTTTCTGTCTGTTGATGTATGCTGTTGTTTTCTCCTATAAAGAAGTATTCGTACGAATTCAAAACCTTGGTTCAATGGGAGGTGATATCTTTTTGTGTTCTGTACATTAGGGCCTATTGCTCTCCGGATAATGAGTATGGATCCGTATGAGTATGATTTCCTCTTTGTGGGTATGTAATTTAGAATATTGCTTGTTTGCTTCGCTAAAGGTATTCATAAAACATGAACTATTACCTTTTTATGATGTATATGCTGTTATCTACAAATTCCTTCCTCAGTCTTGAACTGCAATAGATTAACAAGTACTAATAGTAATGGGGGACCATTACGGATGTCCCCCAAACTGCCCCCATAGTCGCAAAATACTAAATTTCAGTGAGATTGAGCAATTTCTAAATTGCAACCAATCATAATCCTCTGTGTGGTTGCTCTGGCACTGAAACGTATGCGATTGAATTTGCAGTCCCCTAATACCCCAATATACCAATTTTCATTGAAATCGAACAATATATAAATTGATACCAATCAGAAGCCTCCGTGTGGTTGCTATGGTAACGAAACTAATGCGGTTTTATTCACAGTCCCCTAATACCCCTATATACCAATTTTCATGAAAATCTAACAATATCTGAATTTCCACCAATCAGAAGCCTTCGTTTGGGTTCTAGGAAAACGAAACCTATGCGGTTTACTTCACAGTATCTTAATATCACTATATACCAATTTTCATCAAAATTGAACAATATCTAAATTTCGACCAATCAGAAGCCTCTGTGTGGTTGTCATGGTAACGAAACTTATCCAGTTTTATTCGCAGTCCCCTAATACCCCTGTATACCAATTTTAATAAAAATCGAAAAATATCTAAATTTCGACCAATCAGACGCCTCAAAGTGGTTGCTATGGCAACGATACCGATGCGGTTGAATTCGCAGCCCCCTTATACCCCTATATATACCAATATTCATCAAAATCGAACAATATTTGAATTTCCACCAATCAGAAGACTTCGTATGGTTTCTATGGCAACGAAAACGTATAGTTTTACATATACCTTACTGTCCACAATTCCTTATGCGTTACACATACTACCTGTAAATGTCTCTTGTGTGGTTCCTAGTCATTTTGATGTTACTAAGTAGTAAAAATGCTTAAATATTCATCGGAAGTATTGTACATAAATGTGATCTTTCAGATGTCGTTTGGTGAAGCTATCGATCTTCTAGAACGTTCCTGAAATCTTTTTGTGAAGCCATCTTCTAAGATGTTCAATATCAACTAATCAAACACATTGTCCATTTGTTCACACCTACTATCATTGAAAAGAGATATATGTTGCTCTTGTTGTAAATTCGATTATATTTAAACAAGCATTTAGATCATTAACAATACGTACCTGCTCACGTTGTTATCCGGGAAAAGCGTTTTATTCATTCGTTTAACTTTAAGGTCTTCCCTCAAGCAGCTACAATTTATTACTGATTATGTAACATGACTTTCCGAGAAAAAACAAAACGTCCGAGTGGTACGGATGGTTTCTCTTGTATCTATGTCCAAACATAAGTGATCTAAAATATAACTGATCTGAAATAAAACCTGATAACGCATGCTAATAACTGTCAAAAGGATTTTTCCACTCCTTAAACGTGATAAAAGGAAAGTTGAGATGTTTATGAATAACCAAACCTGGTGTACTGCGTCTCATGTATATGTCAGTCCTTTTGCGTCTATCTAGAATAATCTACTATCCTACCTAGAAAACCGTAGCGCAGTGTTTTTACCTAACTCGAGTTCTCCATCACTGGCCAATTATGTTTCATTTTCGCATCAATAAGATAAGTCAATAAACACACTCAACACACAGGGAACTCAACAAACAAATATAAAGTATTACACTCTGGCGGGTCGTTAATTATCTCTACCACAGCCATACATATAGCTTCTTCTTAAAAACGTATTACATACATGACACAACAAAATAAAAAGAGAAACCTATTTCGTTGGTTACTTTAATTAAACGAATATAACTTTGTTCTAAGAAAAGCAGGGGAGTTACGGACTTACCCCCATTGTTACCTCATACCAACAGTGGTACCTCATACCAGCAGTGTTACCTCATTCCAACAGTGTTACCTCATACCAAATCCCAACAGTGTTACCTCATACCCACAGTGTTACCTCATACCAGCAGTGGTACCTCATACCAACAGTGTTACCTTATACCAGCAGTGTTACCTCATACCAACAGTTTTACCTCATACCAACAGTGTTCCCTCATACCAACAGTGTTACCTCATACCAGCGGCAGCGTCCGTCCGTCCGTCCGTAAACAATTCTTATTGTACTTTTTTTTCTCTATATTTTATATGCAAGTTCCCCTTGGTCCGTAGGTGTGCCTGTTTCATTTTGAGACTAATCGCGAAACAAGAACATGTTATTGCAGTTTCTCAAGAAGCATTTGACAGATCTTTATAAAATTATATATATATATATATGTTTTCCCTGGTCCAAAGTTGTGCATGTTACATTTTGAGACAGATTTGAATAAAACAAGATGGCCGTGAGGCTGCCATATTTGCTTTTTCAGATTTATGGCTCTTTCTCAAGAAGTGCTTTATATTTCTTATTGAAATTTATCTGTAGTCTCCCCATGGTTCATATTTTGGAACTAATTGGAAAAATAAGATGACCGCTAGGTAACGGTGCTGGATATTCAGAGTTCAATATTGTTGTTGCTATATCCCAAGAAGCACATGACACCTTTTTAAGATATCATGTGAAGGGGTGGACTATCGTTGGGCATGTTACATTTATCAGGAAACTACGATTGCCACCATGATTTAAAGAGTCAAATTTACTTACAGCTATTTGTAAAAACAAAACGATGAAAAGTGACATCTCTTAGAAAGGAAACTTTCAAATTCAGTGGTATGGAGTTTCTTTTCAAAAAATACCATGAGATGCATTTACTGTTGACAAGATTCAAAATATGGTAGGCGCCAGGATCATTCTCTGATCTATTGTTTAATATTGAGTACATACAAGTCCCTTGAGTTTTGTTGAAACTATCCCAGTTCTCCCTATGAGGGACCTTTATCTTTATAAATCACGAGATTTTTTTTTTTTTAAACGTGGACTTGTTTTCGATAAACAGAAGACCTTTACCTTCGGATACTTTATCAAGAAGTCTTCGGGTATATTTACGTTTTGTTCATATGTTGTCCAAGATTTTGTGTTCGAAAAAACTGAACTTTTGAAATTGAAATAACGGACAGAAAAGGCTGTTCTTCATCACTCAATATTAACTGACAACCTGACATACAAGAACGGCTCGCTTCTATTCTGTACTGTTAGCGTGACAATTTTGGTTTTCCAATCATTAATATTCCCTTTCTTAATAGCAATATTCCTGATTTCTCAAATGATGTCCTTGGCATGTACCAGTTGATTCTATATTCAGATCTCTACGAACATCCGACATCATTGTTTCCGTGATAAATGTCGACTGCCGGAGCACAATCTTACAACACAAGGTATCGAGAAATGCACGCTTGGAAAGTCTATGGCCAAGATGTATGGGTTCCGTCATGATTTCATTCCTAAATATTTTATTTACTTTATGTTATGTGAATGGATATGTCTGTTCATATTTTCCACAAGTTGTATTAGTTGAGAATTAAACTCGTCATCTTGATTTGTTGTTTCGTTGTCCATGATTCATTTGTTGAGGACTTGACATTACTTGGATTCGACCTAGGTTTTCATACCGAGTGGCATTGATGAAGCAGAGGAAGCTTACCTATTCAGAACAAAACAAATTCCTAGCTTGCCCTAGGCTAGGCATAGCGCCTGCTAAGGCAGCTACTGTAAATTCCTCAAACTTGTATTGATTGATGTATTATTTACTGTATATGCTAATTGTATTGATTGTATAAATTGTATATCTATTTACTGTAAAATGCTTTATAGTTGTTTATTCTAGTTCGATAGGGCGCAACATCAAATATTATATATCTATTAATTTACTTTTATCACAACTGCTTGGTATTTTAAGGCTACAGATGCACATACTTATCTAAATTTATATTCTTACCACAGTAATCACAACAAAGTAAATACTCCTTTTAATCTTACTTCACAGATTATCACTGTCGTCAGTGAGAAGCAAGTCCCAAATGCTTGACTTGATCAACTAAATCCTTACCTTTAAGTTCTATGTTATCTTACTGAGGTAATAGGCATACAGAAAGCTATTGAAAAGGGGACCCTTTACATCCCGTTCTTAAAATAAAAGTATAAATCAAAGTTAATTCCATTTGTTTATACCTTCAATCTTTGGAATTTCTTTATGTTTTCTGTGATAAAGAACAAATGTGAAGAGTTGAAGCAAAGTAGCAAGCGTATGAGAAACATTTTCGATAAGCATGATTTTTGTACATGGTAGACGCAATCCTAACACCTTGACACGTATATTGCTCCAAGTTTAATAATTCCTTTTTAACAACAGAAGTACCTAAGTGTAAGATACCAAGTTGTGTCACATGTCCCATGATTATCGAATGTAATCTTTAAGAATGGTGTGGAATGTAACTTTGAACACTTAGATGAAATATATATAAAAAACGTAATTGATCCAATAATTTATTTTGAATGTGGTGAATTTTACATTGGTCAACTCACGTATGAGTGTACAACAAACTGAAACCGAATCTTTATGAAACTTACATGTTGATAATCATATTCATGAATTGATGAATTTAATGTATTACCTGTATATCAACTATGTTCATTCTATTAATCAACGAAAAAAGAAAGAAGATAATTTTCTCAAATATTAAAACCTACTCGCAATAGGGTACAGTAAACTTTTACAATAGTTTGTCCAATATTTTGTGTACATTGTTAGTTCACGATGTTGTCCGTTTGAAATAAACGCGAAGGGCCCTGTAAATGGTGCAAACATCGTCCCAGAAAACCCACAAGCACCATTGCTATCCATTGGTCAGGTGTACCTAAATGCGAAGAAAACAAAATTCAATAATAACCTTTTGACCATCTATGAAATTAAAAGGATTTAGATATTTCATTTCTTTTGTGTAAAACACTACAAGTTAACGATGTAAAAAAAAAAACTTTTAGTAAAATAATAATGCAACAGTGTTTTATATATTAATGTGTTGTATATATAAACAAACATTAGTTCTATTATTTTTTAAATAAACTGATGTCAGATACTCTACATAAGTTTGTATAATTGGTTATGAATTTGAAAACGAAAGTTTTGAGAAGAAATTCGTCTTCAAATGCCTCAACGTTAACACTTTTGTTACAGACAGAGCGCCATTGTGTTTTATGTTAATTTGTATGACTACAAAACAAGATTTCACGTTATAAAAAGAACAGCGCTTACTTTTGTTTTATAAGATGTCAGCTGTCAAAGATGGTCTACCATGATACATCAACAGGTTAACAGACTCCCTACAGCAAGTAAATGTAAATCGTGAAAACTCAACTAGAATCAATGGTTATAATATTGCTATCATTAAAATATTGATATAGGAAAAATGGAGTCTCGTTTATCTATGCCATAAAATACTGTCGAGAGGCAAACTGATAACATACCAAGTGTCTCGTGAACAGAAGTAATACAGCTTTGGGCGTGGCATGCTGTTAAAGTTGGTCGAGAGGCAGAAGGAGTAGGCTCCTGCGTAGCTGATGTGTACCCATTCTCCGACCTCCATCAATGGTAAAATGATGTCTGTAGCTAAGCAATCCAAGGAGCAACATGTTGGACCCCATACAATGCTGTTATGTTTTTCTGTCCTCGCCTAGAGATATTGAAAAATGAGTGCTCTTCACATTTTCTCGTTAATGTTACATTCTCGACTTTTTTCTGTCACATTTAGTTTGATTGTTAATAGCGAAATCACTTCCAGCGTACCAGTTTAGAGACATGACATAATAACACATTGGCCCAGTTGTTCATACAGTGATTAGCTTAATCAGTGATTGGCGCAAATTCTATTTGTGTGTATCTTTAAAAGAAACCTATTAACTGGGTTAAAAGTTTCCAGATAGCAAATATTTTAGAAGAGTAAACTGTATGCAAAATTACCAGTTTTTACCTTGTATAACGACCAAATTATTAGAGGTTGAAAAATGTCGTTTAACAATGATTAGGCTAATCACCTTCTGAACAACTAGGCCCTGATCAATAAGTGCTTTAATACATTTTGCGAAATAAATTTTGTTTGAATAATCTCATTCCCTTTTAGTTCATCACAATAAGATTAATTATTTTAGTATGACTACCAACGAAACCAGATAGTTCGCCTGTCCAATACCACACTATATACGGGAAAACCAAAATCTCTATACTCTTAATAAACCATGGGATTAAATGCCAAGGTCTTACAGTGTAGTCGTTTTAAACAGATATAACGACAAAATCACAAGTAAAACAACTAGATTCTTCAGATGATTTCTACTTTGTATGGGGCACAGTT